CATGATCAAGGACTCGGTCCCTGCCCTCACTGCCCTCCCGGTCCAGTCTCAGTTTACTCACCTGTAAAATGGCAATAAATGAGAATAGCTGGCCTTGCCAAGTGCTTACTATGTGCCAGGCACTGTGCTGAGGGCTTAGTCTGTGCACTCGACCAGCTGTCCACATGGGTCAGGCCTGAAGGCACCTTGGAGTGCCTGCCGCAGGCAGCCATGCAGACAAGGCCGTCCCTTCTCCCCGGGCTGGTTCCGGCTTTCTCTCTTCACTCTCCTCCTCCTCTGCATCTCCACTGGGACCCAGCCCATGCCCATCCTGGTGTCCCTTGATGTGCCACACACTCCCACACCCTCATCCTGTGTTCAGGTGTCCCCTGCCTGCAGGGCCTCCAACCCCCATCTGGAATGCTCTTGCTCGTCCTGAGTCACTAAAATGGCCCTGCTTGGGGACCCTCCATATTCTCGCCAAGCCCTCCAAGCCCCTGCTTCGGTGCAGGGCCTGCCACATCCTGCCAGGCTCTGTGGCCACCTGTCCACTTTGTACGATGGCAAGCAAAAGAGACCATGTGGTATTTTCTTCTCCAAATCCCCAGACTAGGCACACGATAGAGACATCAACTCCTACTTCCTGAGTCCATGTGTGAGACATTTTACACTAATCACCTCATATAATTTAACCCTCACAACCTCAGCAAAGGAAGGCTTGTTATCCCCACTTCATGTTTGGGAAAGCTGAGGCTAGAGAAGGGAATAACTTGCCTAGGTCACACCTAGGGTTGCTGGCTTCAAAGACAATACACGTGTGTGGAAATATATTCTTCAGAAGCAAGATCTACTTAGCCCTACAGACCAAAAAAGAGGTGGTCTTCAGTACCCTCCCAGCACCCCCAAACTCAGGTCCACACTTCACTCCAGAGAGCTCCTGCTTGAAGAAGATGCGGTGAGTGAATTCTGAACTTAAAACGCTTAAAAAATGCTCATCTTTTCTTTCAACAAATATCTATGTCTCTACCAATAGCCCTGGGCTAGGTCCTGGGTGGACGTGGGGGTGGAAGGAGAAAGGAAGGAACAGAAATGGAAATCAGGGCTGTGGTCCTGTGATCTCGTAAGAACCATACATTTGGTCTTTGTCCCTGGTGCCTGTCCCAGAGCTCCTAATGCAATACAACAGTTACACATCTGGTCTCTGCCCCCAGTTCCTGACACAGAGCTCCTGAATCCCTTGGCATTTCCTGGGTGATGGGAGTATCTTTTGTCCTGCTGAAACTACTCGTAGTGGGCGCCTGGGCAGCTTCAGGGCAGGGACTGGTCACCAGAAAGACCAAGCCATGATGAGAAGCTTGGAACTTTTATCCCCACCCCATCCTCCAGGAAGGGAGAGGGGCTAGAAATGGAGTTACTAATCCATCGCACCTGTGTGATGACGCCTCCATAAAAATCCCTGTTCCATGTGGACCCCACACAGCATCCTCACAGGAACAAAGCACACACATCACCTCCACCACCATCATGGACACATCTTTACTCAGCCCCTTAAGAGGACAATCACGCTGGCTTTCACACGGGTGGACACACTGTTCCCGTGGGAGAGACCCGCAGGACCTGACCGCAGTTCTGCCTCCCTTGAAGGCCCGGCCGCTTCTTGCCCCTTCGTGGGGGTCCCCCGGCTGTGGCGCAGAGAGCAGGGTGGTGGCTTTCCGGAAACCCATCCTTGCCCTTTCACTTTCCACAGCTGCCCTTGACATGTTCTCGCCCCCTTCTCCACTGAGCTGAAACTCCTCATCCTCCCCTTCAGTTTAGAGCTGCTGTTTTGGGGCAAATATTCAACCACTTTCAGCACGAAATTCAGACCAGAGGCCCAACAGGGGCACCCTTCTTCCCTTCTCCTCCTTGATGTGTGGCCTGGATGAAACGGTGCAGATGATACCTGCCGTGCTGCCACACCAGCGTGTCACCAGTCCACCACCCATTGCTCCATGTGTCCTGCTCTCGGAGACCCCACTTAGGTCCCCCTTCTCATGGTCCCCACAAAGTTGCAGAGACCCCTGAATCCTGCAGGCACCTCTGCTCTCAGAGCTGTGTGGACCCAGGGCACAGATCCCAGCTGTCCTAGAGTCCCCCTCAACTCCCCTCAACTCACACTGGGATCTCTCACACCTTGTGCCCCTCACTGCACAACCCATCCCATGGCCCAGGGCTGGGGACACAGCCGGCAGTCTTTAAATGCTCTGCCTTCCGCCTCCTTCCCGGGGGTGGGACACCCTTGGGGCCATTTCCTGTGTTCTCCCCATGGAAACAATGGAGCAGAGCTTCTATCATTAGGACCCACAGTGGCCCCTTCCCATGCGGTCAGCCACCACCACCACCAAGCTTAGTGACATTTACTGCAGGTCAAACATTTACAAACATGGTCTATATCAGTCCTTGCAGCACAATATGAGGAGGACACACATTGACTACAAGGCTAACAAGTAAGGGACCCAGAGTCACAGGGAGGTCCGGAGTTCCATCTGACTCCAAAGCCTGTGCTCCGCCCACCGCAGGGAGCTCCCCCAGGGCCTGCTGCAGCTTGGGGACCCACTGGACCTGCTGGCCTTGGGGCTCACCATGCCTCCCGTGCACTCGCGGCAGTCCTGCAGGCAGCTGATGTTCTCCCAGGTGCTGTAGGCCTTCAGCCCTGCCACCAGGGCCTGCAGCGAGCGGCTGTTGACCAGCTCTTTCCCCTGGAAGATGTCCTCGTCCAGGAGGGCCCCAGCGTACCTGCGAGAAGCAGCAGAGATGTGTGAGAGATGCAACGGTGCACACGTGTGGAGGAGCACGCTGAGGAATGGCAGAGGCACGTGGGCATTTGAGGTGGACGGCAATGCTGGAAGCTGCTCCTCCCAAGGTCACTGCCAAAGGCTTCATGGGCACTTCAAATCCATCACCCAGCACCAACACCATATCCGCAACCATGCGTCTCCACTGCACTGTCCTCCCGTTGGAAAACCCGTCCTTGGCTTTCTGTCCATGTTTACTTTTCTGCCAATCCATCTGTAGGCCCCGTCACTCCTGTGGGCATCTGTCCAGGCACCCCTTGACCCAACACAAGGGGACACTGTGTTTAAGTCTCTCCCTATTTTGGTCTACACAGATAGGATCATATTCCAAATTATTTTCTTTTAGCCACACACAAAAGAATTCATATGTCTTTTATATTTGCAATTGTTTAATCCCACTTCCACTGGAAATTGTAGAATGGATTGTGTGGCAGGCAGAATAATGGCCCCTAAAGATGCCCATGTCCTAATCCCTGGAACCTGTGAATAGGTTTCCTCACAGGGCCAAGGGACTTTGCAGATGTGATTAAATTAGAGGTCTTGAGATGGGGAGATGATCCTGGATTATACAGGTGACTCAGAGTAATCATAAGGGTCCTTAGAGCAAGAGGGGCAAGAAGAGGACATGTGACAATGGGAGCAAGCAGTCGGGGATACAGCAGGAGGAAGGGTTAGCTGGCCATCTGCAGATAGAAGGAGCCACAAGACAAGTGGGGAGGCCACCTCCAGCAGCTAGAAAAGGCAAGGAAATGGGTCCTCCCTAGAGCCTGCAGGAGGAAGACAGCCTTGCTGACACTTTGATTTTAGATCAGTGAAGCGCATTTTGGATTCCTGACTTCCAGAATGGTAAGAAAATAAATCTGTGCTATTTTAAGCCACCAAGTTGGGGGCAATTTGTTACAGCAGCAATAGGAAACTAATACGGATTGTGGCCAACTTCTTCCTTCAAAATGATGTCACTGTTCTTCATTTTTCAGCCACCTGTGGGTATGACCCCTATGCAGTGTGTAGTGGTATTGGTTGGTCTCCCTCCACATGTACTCCTCCTCCTCAATTCTGAGTTTCATTTTCACCATATTTCAAAACACTATAGTTGAATGGGTCAGCTCACACTCTGCCTCCCTTCTTTCGAACACCTTCCATTCATCTTATCTTTAAAATCTTTTTTAAAATGAATTATTGTCGGCCGGGCGCAGTGGCTCACGCCTGTAATCCTAGCTCTCTGGGAGGCCGAG